AATGGGTATTATGTAAATTTAGAAGAGCCTCTTAACACTTCAGTGGTCACGTGGCATCTATAAGACTGCTTCATTTGCAGAGTAATGATTTCTACTGGTCTAGACCTTCTGTCCGTCAGAATATCGATAAGAAAAAGATCAATGTTCAAGTCTTGTTTGTAATAACTTCCCGTAAGAAGAAGATTAGAATAACAATGAAGAATGTAGAAGATGAAAGCTTATTAATTGTACTTGTTCCGAAAGAAATTTCTAGGACAACGAACTATGAATCTCCATATAAAACCTCTTTCTACTCTTCCAGGATCATCGAACAAATTATGTATTCGTTTAGAAAGCCAGACACAAAAATGGATGACTAAAACAAAATTGTTATCCGAATAGACTCTAAATAATAACTTCAACAATGACGAACGAATGCAGACGAGCTAGATTAGAGCAACGAGACTGATCCCCGGGATCCATGGCCAGAAGTTTCTCTTCGGCCAGCAGCCGCCGCATTCAAGACCAATATGTCTCGGCAAAGTGAAACATCCCGGCGTGCATCTTAACACGGAAAATAACGCGCGTGGTGAAAGCAGCCGATGACAAACGGCCAGGTAACGGGTGCTCAAGATACACATAGTTAACACGGTCGGGTCTGGCTAACGACGACTGATGCGGCCACTATATAATTTCAAAGCGCACACGCGGCAGACGCGCGGAAACGAAACCGGCGCGGCGACGCGTTAACGCCTTAATATGGACAAATGTCGGATTACGTCTCGGATGAGGTTTGCTTTGCATTATTCGGATAACAGGCTAGTTTGCCATCTTTGTCTCCTGTATGCGTATACCTAGAGCAGGTTTACCTTTTTCCGTGATAACTCGCGTTAAACGCGAGACGCAACGGACGGAATGAGAAAGATAGAAGCTGTCAACTGGCAAGACGAACGAACGGTATTAGAGTCGACGAAGAGTCGCGCCCGACTTTATAACATCTGCTTGAAAAACTTGGACGACTCTGTCCGACTGTCCCTACTTTTGTCAGGAGGTGTTCTTCTACTCTTGTAGTTGTCAATGAACAATTTCGGAAGAGAAGAGACAATTAATCGAGCCTTGCGGCTCGTTTTCATAGTTACCGGTTGTCAACAACTATAAAAATGAGACGCAAACCTCGATTAATCGTATCTCCTTTTCTCAAATTGCCCATTTTTGGGCACAATCTGAGCGTCAATTAGGGGGGAATTTACTGTATAGAGTTTATTGTGCACCTACGCCTACGCTCGCGACCAAAGAGCTAATTAATTGAGAACTTCCTCATCCATCACCAATTCCTACACTGTCCCCAACTGTGCTTACATCCTTACATCTAAGACAGGGCTTGCTGAGTAGCCGCACTGGTGATTCCTTCAGCTGGTCCAGAACGGAACGCTCACACTTCGTTCACGGATAAGTCTTCAGCCATAAGTATAAGAGTACACCTTCCGATCACCATCATTCGTACCTTGTCAAAACGTTCTTCTCCAACTTCTGCATCATGGTGAGCGTTGTGCTCATTCTTGAAAAGAACATCGCCATTTAACCTTTCAGGTACGGCTGAATTCTGTGCGAGGCTATTTCTCTGGACGGCAGACTCTGATATGCACTGTACAGAGTGTCAGTATATTGTTGAGATACAGTTATATTGTTAAGATAAGTCTGTATATTGTAAATCGATGTGAGGACAAAAGAAGTGTGAAACAATGCATATGAAGACGATTATTTGATTCAAACGATGACCGAGTGAGCTACTAGAGTAAGCCACTATAGTGGCGCGTCGTTCAGAGAGATGACATCCGCGAAAGCCACTATAGTGGCGCGTCGTTCAGAGAGATGACATCCGCGGAAGCCACTATAGTGGCGCGTCGTGCCTAAAAGGTTAAGTGAAACTAAACGTTTATTTGGATACCAGCGATTCTAGCCACCTTCGCGAGCAGGACTCACAGGCCGTAAGAACTACAGAACTCGACATACCCGTTTAAGAAGGAGCCGAAGAACTCTTAACAAGGCGAAAACAAAGAACGGTGGACAAGGTGCCGGGTTTTAAGAAACCGTGACGATTCTCGCAGACGTCCGACCGACTGACATTTCTCAGCGGGACAGGAAACGGTGGAGTTAATGATGCCGACTCGGCAGCGACAGAGAGAGAGAATCACGGGGTTAGGGGGCAGCTCCGGGAAAAGAGGGTCACGGGATGAATGTGTTCACATTATAAACCCTCTGTTCTTTTAATTTCTTCAAAAGGCCTCTCTCTACCGTCGACACCTCGCTCTCCTCTCCTCTCCTCCTGCCCCTCTGACACCGCCACCCCCCGGAATTAATAAGGCGTCGGCGATGCGACGTCTTTTTTCTTGCTCCCCCGAACGAGGCGGCGGAGACAGCCCGGCAAAGTGAATGAGAGAACTCTCGGCGAGAGGATAACAGAGGGAGAGCACTCTCTTACCGGTGCTTAACAGTCGGATGAGATGAGCTGCCGTTAATAAATGTGTTTCTAACTGCGGGGTCGAGGGGGACAGGCTGTCTTTGCCCGACCGTGTTGCATACCGCCGACCTCCCTCCGGAATAAGTCTTAATGAAAAGAAAACTTTTAAACGCGCTAGACCTACGTTTGTTCCCCGATGCTCTCGGCTGTGTTCAGGTTTCACGCTGTTGTCCCAGCTCTGGATAGGGGGACAGTGATTGAATCGGGAGAACGTCCTCGGGTGTCTTGTCTTTTGGATCGTATAATCTTCTCCTGGAGTGCTTTCGTTTGTTGCCGTGGATTGCTTGTATTGTAGGACAACTTCTATGATAAATAGCGTAAACCGCCTTGGAGAACGATTCAAATGTTCCGGCAAAACTGCATCAGTTAGCGAATAGTTAAATGAGACGACTAGATTGTGATCCCAGTCATGTGTGTGTTGATACTCGATTAGTCAGCTCCACTTCAGATTCGAGGAAGTTAGCAAGGAAGATCGTGTTCTAGCAGCTAGTCGACCTTGATGATATCTAGCATTTCTCTCTATTACTTGGCAATTAAAGGAACCTGATTCACATAGGCAATCGCTTATATGAAAAGATGAACTATGTCCCATTAACATTCTTCCGACTTTGTTGCTGTTTTTTTTATCGCAGCTACTAAAATCTGCACAGTCCGCAAGTAACAATTTCCACTTTGGTGTCACTTTAAACAAAAATCTTGGCAGTAATTATATAAATAAAATTTCCGAATTGCCGATTAAAGATGTGCATTAATACTCCTGCACGTTTACCAAATCTCAGCTTGCTATGGAGTCGAGGATGGGGATAGGAACTGTTCGGTTGTGATTGTCTGTGGATTCACTGCTGCGACAGGATTCACTGCGGATTGGACACGCGGTAAAATGGTGCTTGCTTAGGGAGATAAAGAAACATGCAGAAGTTCAGATACAGCAATTTCTCTCAGAAATGTTCGGAGTTCGGAATTAAAGCCGGCAGTTCTGAGAATACTAAATCGCGGTTCTTCGGGCCTCGCGGCTCGTTTTTATAGAAACTCGGCGCAGTCGACAGAAAATGCCAGCGACCAGCATGCCGGTGTACATTAGTATGAATACATAGTAATGCTAGAATAATAACGGTGACGTAACTTTTTCATTTCTATTTTTTTGCCACGATTCGAAGGCAATTCGGTGGCCACATGACACGATTCGAAGGCAATTTGGAGGCCACATGCCACGATTGGAAGACAATTCGGTGGCCACATGCCACGATTCGAAGGCAATTCCATGGCCACATGATAATTCGAAGGTAATTCGGGGACCACATGCCACGATTCGATGGAGATTGGTCACGTACCTTGTGTCTTCGCGGTTTTTCTTATCTAAAGAAAAGTTTTTCTTTTCACGCCCAAACAGCCCAAGTATCACATGCTCGACCGACTCCGTTGACGTAATCTTAGCATCGACGTAGCAATAAATTATATAGACGTAGGACTAGCACAGGGAAATGCACAGCAACCCGAAATTTGGCATTTCCGGGAGAAATTACTTTATTATTATATTTGCAATCGGAATCAAGGGACGAAGTTGGTCAGATTACTCGAAGGGATCGGCAAACGGTTTAGTCAATAGGATCGGGCCTGGCACGTCGTCTTGCAAGAAACTACCCTCGGGGTAAAAAAATAATTGCCCCTTAATACGCGCCGATATCCCAGCCGCGGGGATGCCGACGCGTAATGATGTTCGCGTCCGCGAACTTAGTTCGAAATTAAATATCAAGGCGGAGGAGGATGGGCCCGGAACCGGCGGGCGAAGGGGATGTTAAAGAGGAGTCTCGAGGGCGACGGGGGTGGCGAGGGGCTCGTCGTGCACCTGCCTTTTTCCCGGAGCCGCCGTGATAAAAATCAAACTGGAAAACAAACGAGAAGTAGGATCGTATTATAAAGTTTATTAATCGATAGACGATGCGAGGGTGAAAGTGGAAGTTATGGGGTTCGGGGATATCTCGTTACTGCGGAAAATTAATATTGTAATGCTGCACGCCGAACGAACCGCCCGGAAGTTTCGCTTGGGACGGTATCAGCCTTTGTGGAATTTTTGTTAAATATTCGCGGAGATGTCTAATTGAATTAAAAATCTTTGCGCGAACTTTTATTTTCACAGGCTTCTGTTAGGGGGCACAGAGTAGGTACAAGCATTCTTTTATCTGCCGAACTAATCCTTTCGTTTAAAATAAAATATGTTTGCAGATTTCACGCACGAAATTTCACCAGCTAGGAATAATATCTGCAAGAATCATGTTAATGTCTAGATGATGAAATTATATTTAATTATATGGCTCGATAATTCGTACAAATTCAAACAAATGTTGGAGATATATTAAGTTTCTGTAGTCGATGCTACGTGACTTGAGAGATCCTGGGAAATTCAAGATGGCGTCACTCGGGATTTTAATAAACATCATCTTACATCTTAATAAACAATCATCCTTTGTATGTTGATTGATTTCTTCGATCTATGTTTCAGAAACTGCGTCCCACGGATCCGCCAATCTACGAAGTTAAAAATTTAGTGATCAACGAAACAGGAACACAGCTGGCATTGTGGGGGGACATGGGTATAAGCCTGATGGAGCTGCCCAAACGATGGGGCAAGGATGGGATGTTCCAAGGCGGAAAGGAAGAGATACTCTGCGTGTGAGTACGGTTCACGTAATCTGCCAGTTTCTGTGAATTAATTACAGCTTCGTTTCTATGGAAATTCTTTCTATAGTATTCAAACTAATAGAACACACAAGATTGCACTGGTCAGACACACACACATGTGGCTCAGTGAGATTACTGCAATGCAATCCATTAAATGGTGTTAATACCGACATCGCTCTATTGGTGACACTTAATTATCCACCTGCGCTTCAGCTCCAAGAAAGTTATCATAGAGATCATTCATAACATTTCTCACCACTACACAGCAAGTTAGCTGTGTTTGACGAGTATACTCGTCGTCGCTTAATTCTCGCGACACGTATAAGTGCGCGCTTTAAAAAGGAGGCGCCCACAGCTAACTGGTTAAAGGAATCCGTCCCAAGGTTGACATAAGGGATGATAAGATCCAAGCAAAGTTGATAGCGATTCCTAGCAGTTAATGAGTTAATGAATTCTGGCGTTTCTTTATTTATTTCTAAATTTAGTTGACGATGATCTTAGATGATCTTAGCACCTAGTCAACCTTCGACGACGCCCGGGTTTCCCTTAGCCGGTCAGACGTTGGAGGGAGCGTGACAATTAAAAACGTGCACATCGAGATCGGGGAATCAATCTCGCGCCGAGGGAGGGGAGTTTACAGACCAAGAAATCCGGCTCCTAAAAAGCGAGATAAGGTAGACCGCGAATAATAAATCGCACTATCTGGCTTCCTGCACCTCCGCGGCTCCTGCGGGCGTCCTAATATCCTGTAATTAAGAGGGTGTTACGATGACGCCCGAACCCCTTTGGCCTCCCTCTTATGGAATTAAGGTGGCTTTACTCGGTTAGTTTTCAAAAGTTCCAGGCCCGGAAAGCACCAAGCTGAATACTAACCGCCTCATCAACGACACATGCCACCGAGACTACTGCCTCGCGTAACATTACCCTTCGCGGGCTCCGTCACCGCGTCTCCTCGTTCTCGCTCGCGTCTAATCTTTCGGGTGATTAGAACCTGACGCAATTAGCCGCGCCCCGGCATCCAGATTATGTCCCGGCATTTTACAAAGCTTTCTTATTCGTGTCCGGCCCGGCCCCGATCCGCGCTATCCTCGTTTCACGCGCGCGTCGATCGGCTTTGGACGCAAAACGTTATCGTGCCGGTCAGAAAAACCAGACTCACACATGTTCCAATTGTAAGGAACACTTTCGCAAGAAATAATTGAATGAATTTGACACGGTCTATCTAATTTCAGTCTTGTTATTCCTGTAAAGTGACACGGCGTGAACTAACTTTCAGCGCTCGGTAGATTCGCTGTAAATCAAGCGGAAAAATTTAGATATGGATCAATTTATTTTGAACTATTTTTTGAGGCTAATGAAAGAACTGGCTTTAATTTTTATGCTCACGAAAAATGTGACTTGGTAGGATAAACGATACCTTGCATGCTTGAATGACAATAGTACGAATGAGAGACATTGTTTTCGTAAAACAACGGCGGTGTGTTCTTAAGCCGTTGTTCTGAACGATTAAATATAGAAGTATGTACGAATTGCTTTATAAAATAAACGGTATTTCGATGACTGATTTAGGAATAGCAACAGTAGGAATAACAAGAATTCTTTTCCGAAAACAACAGTGGTGCGTTCTTAAAGAGTGAGCATCGTAACCTGTTGCCTATACCATTTCGATTTACAGTAAATTCACCCTAATTGACGCTCAGCTTGAAAGCAAAAATGAGGAAGAGGAGATGCGATTATAAGACTTGCGGCTCTCTTTTATAGCAACAGATTGTCAACAACTATATAAATGAGCCGCAAGTCTCGAGTAATCGTATCTGCAATTAGGAAGAATTTGCTGTATTAGAAATATTGTCATAGGAGCACACAAAGGAAATGACATTCAAGCGGACGGTACTCCTAGCTCATATTTTACAACACTATTTATTATTTGATGTACTGCACAAGCGATCGTTAGTTCGCACGTGGAACGGTTAGCTTTTACGCAACTCTGTGCAATGCAGAACCAAACTATTCGATATATCTATATTAATGCAACCGTTCACAAATTCGTGTCAACAATTAGAACATATTTCCGTGTTCGTAGGACTGCAAAGTAAAGTAGAATTTCACCGAGCGGCTCTGTAAAAACCGCAATCGACTAGATCGCTCGAGTAACTGCACTTTTAAAGCGCGTTTCGAACGGCGCGGCTCGCGAAGGCGACAATACAGGAAATTGCGCGGGTGGAAGAGCAATCAGCACGGGAACTCGCTCCTCGCGATGATTTGTCGCCTGTATGGATTTCGCGGGATCACGGTAGCGGCCGCAGGACAGCGATTAAACTTTTCCCACCGAGGGGAGGTAAGGATCTGTCGCGATGCTGGAAGTTTCGCGGGCAATAATGCATAAACTCCATTTAGCCTTATTTAAGCCAACGGAAGGAAGGAGACATTAAATCCCAGAGATTCGTTCTAATGGCCGCGGACTCTCTTACAAACTGTTCCTCCGCGGTCTTTTATGCCGTGCGCATTTAACGCCACTCGCTCGGCTCCGCTTCGCTCCGCTCCGCCCGCGACGCGGTCTCTACGTACGGTTCTTATAAATCCCCTCGATTCCTGGCGCCCGGACCGGCGAGCCGACCGCAGAAATTGCTTAAGTGATATAACGAAAAAACTTTAGCGTAAACTGCCGCTCTTAATTTGACCAGTTTGTGTTGTTCACCGGGCTCCGCGGGGCGAGGGGTGTCGGGGCTAAACGTTTCGTTCGTTTCCGGAAAAACTTCGGAATTATGAATTAGCTGGAAGTCGGCAGGAAAGTAATGCATTTATTCTGGCCTCGACTTATTATGAAATTATAATGCGAAGGACAACTTGGAGCGAACGGGTGCCCGTTCCGCCACCCCTCCTTGCCCCTGTCCCTGAATTAAGTAGCTTCGTGTCTCGTCTCGTTCATCGTAATTCAAATTAATTTGAATTTCCCTCCTAAATGGTCCGTCTAACCTTCTCGAGAATAATTTCATCGACCTCTTTTGCCTGGTTTCTGGTGCAGGAAGCAAGGTTAAATAATTTGGAGCTGATCAGAGGTTCGTTAAAAATCTGAAACCCAATATTTTGCGTTATAAATCTTAGACTAGGAGGGGGGACGCAAATTAGTAATAAATGTTCGAGATTCGAAAAGCTGCAAATCGAAGCAGAGACTCAAGATTCAAGGTCCTCGAATTAGAAATAATAAGGACTCAAACGATTCTGATTGGAAGCAGAAATTCGTTTGCTTGAAATTAAAACTGGAAATTTCATATTCAAAGTCAATGTAAATATTCAAGATTCGAAAGAGTTCGTTCAAAATGAAGATTCACGGTTTGAGAGATTTAATTTAAAACTTCAGTTTAAAAGTTCCAAGAAAGGAAGGAAAGATTCAGATTTTAGAAAACTGCAAATCGAGGCAAAGATTCAAGATATGAAAGACTACAAATCGTGACAGAGATTCAAGATTCAATACCCAATACAGGACAAATAGAATTCCAAGGTCAAGGGCCTCAAATTAAAAATGTAGATTTATGGCTCAAAGGGCTCAAAGCAGATTCGCCAAAATCAAAAAATCCTAAAATTCTAAGTAAAAGTGTAATGAATCCAAACGGGGATCAAAATTTCAGTTTGCAAACAAAGGTTCAAAGTTTACAAATCTCAGCTTCGAGATCCGATAGACTAGGGTAGAAAGCAAAGATTCGAGACATCTGGGAGTCTCGGATCAGAAGGAAAGATTCAGAATTCAGAATTCGCGAAGATCGGGCGTTGCATCTTTTAGCAGAGAATTTGTCAAAGTGGTTGGCCTAAAGTTTCTAGAACGAGCGTATCGTGATTTAGAGAAGAGCAATTCCGAGTAGATAGTTTCGATACACTATGTCGAGCATCGTCATCGGCCAAACAGATCCCAAGCTCCGGAGCGTGGAAAAGCGAGCGGCCGAGCTTCGGATTAAGCAAATGGCGGCAATAATAGTGATTATTCGGATTATGATATCAGAGCGCGAAGTGGGTTCGCTTGGACTTACCAGCAGCCACTAACTGCTGCGCCACCAAATCCCGACTTCAAGACACCGGATTAAAACTATTACCACTTCGCGGCGCCTCTACCCTTCGACCTCCTCCGCCCCTTGCCAATCCTGGCTCCTTCCTCTTTCCTCTGTCTTCCAACCTGCCTCCCCCCCTCCCTCTGCTCTCAAAAAACCTGGATCTTCTAGACTTTCTACCAGTTCCTTCAATTTTCTGCTCTGCTTGGAATCTGCTTTTGCAAAACAATAACGGGGGTAGAATCTCCAGAGTTTTCTTGGACAGCTTAATTTTTATTTCTTTAGCTTTTCTACTGTCTGCTGCAGAAAAAAAAGATCAGATTATTGAATATCTTATTTCAAACTGCTGAAGCTTTCACTGTTGGCCGTTATTTATTCAGGGTAATTAGTGAAATTGGTTTTTAAAATAAGTTGGACATGTGAATTACACAATGTGACAATAATATTTTATAATGTAATTATGAGACCGCGGATCTTTGTTCAAACTAAAAATTGTCCAAGTTAACTATAAGAGATATATGGGTTAGGGTAGTGGTGTCAGCTGCTGTGGGGTGACTAATTACTGTGCTTTTAATTTACTTTCAAGCATAATTGATTTTATATTTATCAAATAAGAGATATTAAATTATTTTATTTTAATTAAAGATAATAAAAATAAACGAATAAAAAAATGAATATGTTTTATTCGATAAATATAAGGTTAATTATGCTCGAAAACAAACCCCACAGTAACCGGCTCCACAATCCCAGATGAAAATAAGTTTCCTCTTTTAATAGTTGCAACAAGTTAGAAATAACGTAACAATATCCTTAAATTCTTCTAATGTCTATACAGTTTTGTATTTTATCTGTCCATTTTTGTCATAGATTCATAAAATCCTCAATTTAGTAATTCGCAATCGGGTCATCTAAAGTAAAAGTCAAACTTCAAGTTTTTTCAATTTTACT